GTCTCCAGCTGATTAGGGTTTGACCTCCTAAAAGTAGACATTGCAATAGACATTTAAAACTATTTTAATTATTCATTGATAATTTGTTTTTCTTATTATTAGAATATGATATGCCGTGAAAAACCCGTTGAATAAATACTGCTGTTGATGTAAATTTCAATAAGGAATCCTTAAATAAAAAAACGTTTAATTAGTGATAACATTACTAATTAAACGTTTTTTATTTAGACCCACCTTCTAAACTGTGGCACTGCTATTTGTTACATATTCTTTGATTAGAAACCTTATTTTTTGATAAATAAACCTAATAAGTATGCAATACAAAATTTCATCAGCTGGTTATGTAGGTATTAAAAGAAATCTCCTAAAAGTAGGCACGGCAAGTGACAATTATATGTTTGATATTAAAAAAATATCTAGTCTTTTAAAATTCGAAATGTTTTTGGTAATTTAATTTTGTTTATTAGAAACTTAAATGACTGAATAGGAATATATCCACTTAAAATCAATCTTAAAATAAGCAATCCTATTGGCAATTTTTTAGGAATTTACAAGGTTTCCTAAAAGTAGGCAATATTATTTAAAATGATCCTCCTCAATCCTCAATTTTGTTGCTGTATTTTCAGCAACAAATGGATTAAAAAGAAATTAATCCATTTCGCTCTGATATTAAATTTGTATTTTTGTTTAAAAAATGTTTTTAGGGCTCTCTGATGTCAAAAATGTATTTTTAATACTATTTTTAATTTTTTTATATAAAAATTTAAAAAGTTTCAAAACATATAAGTTTTCTAAATTGACCCCTACCATCGACGGGAAAGGGGAGTAGTTAAGGGAACGACTTTTGTTATTAGCTATTTTAGGATAAGACATAATACCTATACCGAAATTTGTTTTAAAATTTTACCTTTTTATACGTAAATGTTTTCTTTTTTTATGGAAAAACATGTCATAAATATCGAAGAGAGAACCGAAATGGGTTAAAGGTATATAAGTATGGATTTTTTATTACAAAAAAAGTTTATCCTGTTTTAAGAATTTTTATAATATATATATATATTTGGATTTCAAAAGAAATGTATTGATAACTCATATAAGTAAGTAAGTAAGTAATTTTTTTAAAGGATTTTTATTTGAACTAAGGTTGAAATCTTTTAGATTTGTTTAATATCTGTATAGGAATTTTTATAAAAGGATCTTAAGTGAGCATTTATTATGAATATTAATTAAATGTTCATAGGCGTAGATTGGTTGAAATGTTACTGAAGAATCATAGGCGTAGGAAGTTTTTTGAAGGCTCAGAGACATTTTTTTTAATAACTTGTATTGGCTCATAGACTTGAATTTTTAAAGTGGAAGGCTCCTGGGCTAGAATTTTTATAGGCTTCCAATTTGTCATTGAAGAAATCTCGGAGGTATAGAACTGATTTTTATCGCAGAACTCTTGGAAATGTAGGCCTGATTTTTAATGACTTTGTTGGAGAACTCTCGGGTATAGTGGTCTGTTTTTTAGGGGAGAACTCTCGGAATAAAAGTTTTTTTTTCATTCGGTATAAAAGATTCATAAGAGCAGTAAAAGGCCAAAAACATGGATTTTTAGTTAAATTGGCAGATATGAATGAAATTTCGACTATTTATATTACGACTAATGAGTACTAAATTTCATTGTGATTGAATTTTTTATGAATTTTGTGAAGGTCTGAGATTTAGAAGGTTTTTTTTATTTATTTATTATTTTTTTTTTTTTGAAACCCTGGGCTTAAGACGCGAATTTTTAGGAAATTTATTCTGGAGCTCTAACCCAGCTTTTAAAAGATATTTTTAAAATATTTTCTGAGCTATAGGCGTAGATTTCTTAATATTTAGTGGAAAGTTTATAGCATAAAATGTTACAGTTCTATTCTGAAGAAAATTCTATGTTTGAATTTTTATGAATTATTTATTAAGCCATGGTTTCTGAAGGTTTATCAAGGCTTTATGTGTGGATTTTTAAAAGAAATTTGGTAATGGTTGTCGGATTTTACCTTTGCTTTCTAGAGGACTTTCTGGCCGATAGGAAAAATGGGCTGAGTTACAGGCGTGGAGATTTGTGTATATGTAGCAGGGTATTTTTATAGATTTCTTCTAAAAAAATCCACGTGGTTTTTTAAGTATTTTTCTGGATAAAGTTATAATGGATATTTACAGATTTTTTCTTAAAGGACGATCTGAGATACAGGAGTAGATTTTGAAAAAAATTATCGTGAGGGACTATTTGACCTATGAACGTAGTTATTCTACGTTTTTTTCTGATTTTCAGTTATTTTATTAAAGATAAGTTATTTTAAATAATGTTTCTGATTTTTAAGTGAGTTATTTATACTCTTTCGAGTCGATCTTAATGATGTAAGTTTTGAAATGAAAATTAATGATCTTAAATTTTTTTTATGTAAGGGTGAAACTTCATCTGATTTTTAAGAATGAATGTCGAAACGTGGACATTTTACAATTTTTGCTATTGTTCATTGCTATTTTTTGAGAGAATTTTTATTAGGGAACTATAAGAGCTCAGGGTGTAGAATTTGAATTTGTTGAATCTGGTTATACATTTCTGAGAATAATTTACAAAAACTTTTTTAAGAAATTTTGTTCAAGCATATTCGGACACTAAATTTGTTAAAAAGTCCTAAGACTTTTACTTTATCGGAGATCTATGAACTTGGCATTTTTATTAAAAACTTATTAGAACAGAAAAAATGTGTATTTTGTAGAAGAAAATTTATATATATTTTATTACATATTTACAAATTTATTTTTGGCAATCAAGGTTATATTATCTTTTTTTAATATGGAAAAATTATCAAAGCAACGGTTATTCCCAGAACTTCCAATTAGTAGTTTTCAATATATACAAATATAAATGTTTATAATTTTATTTCTTACCTAAATACCAATGTACATTTTCTTTTTTGTTAATTTTTATTTTCATATATATTTTGATGGCTTTGTACAACGAATATTTTCTGTTGCTCTATATGTGTTCTAATTATCAATTGTGGTTAAACTGGAAATCCCCACCCAATAAAACACACATCGACACACACAAAATACAACAAATATCCTTAAACACCAATTGATATTCCTCCCCAATCCTCAACTGTTCCGGTTTGGTTCCAATCAATCCTTAACAAATGTATTATTGAAATTATGTAAAAACAATACAAATAATTGTGGTATATAGCACGTGGTGGTATGCGTTCAAATCACTCAACTTGGGATCCACGTCGTCCCAATTTATACGAAGAATTGAAAGCACCACCAGTACCGGCCCATGGCAATCATTATGGTCATGTACATAATATCAATGAGTGTACCTATAAACATCCAGGTAGGTTGTGGTTTTAATTTTTTTAATTAATTTTAGTTGGTTGAGTTTTTGTAAATTTTATTTTTAATAAGAAAAAGTCTAGTTTAAAGAGTTTGATAATTGTTACAAAATTAAATACTAATTTAAATCTTAACTTTTTTAAGTACAATTTTTAACTAAGAAAATATCAGTAGTAGGCGGGATATTTGGGATATCATTTGTATTTTGTTATTGCAGTTTGTTGTTTTTATAAAAATTTAAAATTCTTCTTAATTTAATTAATCCGTTTCCAAAGAAGTATTTGCTCTAACCATATTAACTTTGGATTGAGTATTTAATTAACTCAAAAACTGGACTTAATCATAATTTTATTGTGTATTTTTATTTATTTTTATTTCTACTTACCTAACATTTTTTCTAAACCTCTCTTCATTTCACCTCATTTTCGTATAATATATTTTTGATTTGAATTTCCTTTCAATCATTTTCTATTAACATTTAAAATTAAACTTGCTCATTTACTAATGGTCCTGTCTAACCATTTCCCAAAAAATAACACTAATAGTAAGTACTCTATTTTCAAAAAAATATTAAAAAAGGTAATTTCGAAACTCCCTTTTGCATGTAAATTTCAATTCACCATTCTTTGCATTCCATCATAGATCAGCTCATTTTTATTAAATTATATTCAAAAACACCAACAACAACAAAATGACACAATTTTACACTAACTGTTTTGAAAATAAAAAATTCAATATAATTATACTAATTCAAATTTTTTCTATTAATACATTAAAACTTGACAACAGGCATGGAAGATGAAATCTGCCCCTATGCCACCTTCCATCTGTTGGGCTTCCGCGAAGAAATGGACCCCACCAAGGCAATGAACTTCCAGACCTTCCCCCATCAAAATGGTCATGCTCCACCCGGTCATGCTGGTACCATGGGACCACCTGGACATCCTGGCCACATGCACTCACGTTCCGGTTCTCAATCGATGCCACGTGCCAATCGTTATGCTCGCAAAAATAGCCAGGGAGGACAATCATCGATTTATACCCCAGCTCCTGAATATGATGATCCCGCCAATTGTGCTGAAGAAGATCAATATGTAAGTTTTGGTGAAAAAAACGAAAAGAGATAAGAGAGGAGGAAAGAAAGAGAGAGAGAAACAATAATAAATTGTTATTTTTTTCTACAGCGCCGCTACACTCGCGTCAACTCCCAAGGTGGCAGCTTGTACTCTGGCCCCGGACCCGAATATGATGACCCAGCTAACTGTGCTCCCGAAGAAGATCAATATGGCTCTCAGTATGGCGGCCCATATGGTACACCTTATGATCATTATGGCTCTCGCGGTTCTATGGGAAGACGTAGTGTTGGTAAGTGTTAAAAAAATGGTTTTATACCCTACACAACTATATTGTCAGGGTATTATAGCTTTGTGCAGCCCCAAGAGTTTGTAACGCCGCGAAATATTGGTCCTAGACCCACCTTTAAGTATACCGATCGTCATATCTCGACTAGCTGAGTCGATCTAGACATGTGTGTCCCTCCGTCCGTCCGTCTGTCCATTATAATTTGTAAACACGATACAGGCCACAGTTATGGACCAATCTTCACGAAATTTTGCATGTATGATGGGTTCTGGCTAATGAAACCCCCCTATTGTTTTTGGTAAAGATCGGTTAATATTTAGAGGATGAAATAGACCAAATACTAAATTTTTGTCGGTTTTTCTGGCCACTCCAGAACATCATGAAATTTTTCATGGAGAAGGGGATCGGGACAATGAAAAAGCGTGCCTGTTTTGATAAAGATCGGTCAATATTTAGCGGCTCAAATGGACCCTGACTTTTATGTGAAAAATTACAACATTTGTATTCTATGGCATATATATATATATAGGCCTGAAGGATATAGACTCGAGATATAGACCCGAGTTGATAGTATATCCAAGAGAAGTGATCGACCTTTAGATTGATACCAAATATATTGTCGCATGTACTCGGATGTGGGAGTTAAACTTAAATATTTACAAGTGCTTACGTATTCATATATTATTAAGTAACCGAGAAGGCGGCTATATAGCGCTGATCGCTTTGAAATGTGTCTTGAGGTTCCAGTTATGATCAAGGACAACGCCTATAATTTTCGGTGATGATCAAATACAAATTTTGGGATGAAGTGGAACGAAGACTTAATTTTTGTGTTTTTCGAGTCGAAATCACAACACAACCCAAGGTGAAAGGTATCTGGACAAGTAATTAGAAGGGCTGCACTGAATATTACTAATATTTGTTGACCTCTAGTCGGTCAAGAGGGTGCAAACATCACGAAATGTTGCCCAAGCTCTGAATATAGATCCACAGAAAGTTCTATTTTCGTCGAAGTTGTGTAGGGTATCAAATGGTCGGCTCCGTCCGACTATACTGCTCCGCTCATTGGTTAATTATAATCTGATTTTTAATATCTCTAGGTTCCGCCCGCAATCCAGGTGGCAACAGCTCTCCTGAACCTCCACCACCACCACCACGTAACCATGACATGAGCAACTCCTCATTCAATGATTCCAAGGAAAGCAATGAAATATCTGAGGCCGAATGTGATCGTGATCATGGACCACGTGGCAATTATGGCGGTAAGTTGTGAAGATTTTATTTTGTAATTATATTACATATATACATATTGTATAACAAATACATATTCATAGCCTACATATACATACATATATTTATATCCGACAACAGCTTAATCATTGTTATTAACTACACTGGCCTACAGAGTGAAAAAATATTTAGTTGTGATTTTGAAAATTAATTAATTAAATTCCATTTTAAACATCACTACGCATGATGGTACGTCAAACTTTTATGTTCAAAAATTTCAAACTTTCAAATGGAACTATTAGATGGCCCAAGGAAACACCAGGAGGTCACTTAGTCGACCTCGTATCAAAAGGGATATCCCCGCTATTTCATTTTTTGGTAAAAAAAGTCACCAAAACACAACACAACACATGGTGGTACCTCAAACCGTAATTAATTGACTTAATTTTAATTGGCGCCTAGCGTCACTAGGAGGTCACTGAGTGGACCTCGTATCAAAGGGATATCCCCACTCCATTTTTCTGTAAACTTTTTTTCATGGTCGTACGTCAAACTGTTCTGAGTAAAAATGTCAAACATTCCAATGGAAAAAGCAACACTAGGAAATTACTAAGTGGACTAGGTATTAAAAGGCTATCGTCACCTGGAGTTGATTTCACTTTTTTCAACCTAATTTAAACAACACAACACATGGTGGTACGTCTTGTAGTATTGAGTATGTCTATGCTTAAATATTTCAAACTATCAAATAAAAATATTAGATGAAGCCCAATAGGGCTGTGGGGTCACTAAGTGGACTGTGTATTAAAGGGCTATCACAACCAATTAATGTGGATTACAAAAATTATATTGGAGGTCTTTCAAGGTTACAGGTCTAGATTTTGGGAATGAAACATTTGGATGTTACTGAGTGGACCTCATGTCAAAGGGGTATCCCCACTATTCCATTTTCTGGTAACTTGTTATACCATTCACCACAGTGCGGTACAGGCAGAGATGGTCCGTCAGAAATAGTGACGTAAATGACACACATTTCCTACGTATAATACATACGTCAGAAACGTCGGAAAACCACCCAAAACCATTAGGTTTTTGACAAAATAGCTGTTTTCCCACAGTTTTAAATTATTCTCTATATTCTTTTTTTACAGAATCAAAATACGTATAATACATACGTCAGAAACGTCGGAAAACCACCCAAAACCATTAGGTTTTTGACAAAATAGCTGTTTTCCCACTGTTTTAAATTATTCTCTATATTCTTTTTTTACAGAATCAAAATACATCTAATGGCAGAATTTGTACAGTTCGAATACGAAGCTATTTAAATAATTTGGACTGTATACACAAATTGGTACTGTACAAATTTTTGCCCTCTTCTCTATATTGAAAATCTCATAACTTTACCAAAAATTTCAATTTTATAAATTTTACTTTTGATATATGTCGTCCATAATTAGGTCTTGATATGTGAAATCCAAAATATAATTATCTACTAGTTATATATAAAATATGTGGTATAAAAAATTTTGTTGCCTGTGGGAAACATTGGGCCATAAAGGGTTTACTAGGAGATTACTCAAATGTATAGACAAATCCGTGTAGGTCCCCAGCAATCGTCGCTACAAAGAATTGTATTCGCGATTCGAATAATTTTACAACTGGCAGATGATATAGAGTCAGACATTCCTCTTGCCGCTCATATTTTGCGAAAATGTATGTAAGTTGACGACGTTTTAACAGGAGCATATGACCTCGAGACTGCGTTGGCAGCTAGAGATGAGTTGATTCTGGCACGATTCCATCTTAGATAATTGGTTTCCAACGACAAAAATATGTTTCCCCCATTGGTTGATACTCAATTTATCGTTTGTTTGAGCTAGTAGTTCTAATCCTCTGAGCGAATTTCTTGGCCGCCTTGCATAGATTTAGAGCTCTTTGTGGTTGTCCCCATTCAAATTTTTGTTGAAGCTTCGCGTGGATTTCAAAGGAATTTCGGCCCTTGTGTCCAATGTCAGAAATTCCAGATAACTTATTCGATTTTACGCCAGGTAATTTTTTTATTAGTGCCCTTTTGTTAACACCGCCTGAACCTCTCATGTTCAGGCCCTCACACACCATTTGAGTTTGAGTTGGAAAAAAGAATATTTAAAACTAGCATACACCCGCTACTTCGTTAGCGAATTTCGAAATTTTCTTCTCCAAAAAGTTTAGAATTTTTTATCAGTTCTAGTAATGAATAGTGAGATATATGTAAAAATAATATATATTCTTTAAAATAACAGTATATGGTAATAATATTGAAATAAATGACGTTTACTACATTTATTACATTTTATACAGGTATATGACGTTTTCGACGTTTACACCTTTTTGACAGTCGAAAACCTACAAAATCGTCACACAGACCATCCCTGGGTACAGGGTATTATGTCTTTGTGCATATGTTTGTAACAGGCAAAAATAATCGAGATAGACCCATAGTTCCTTTTGACAATATGCATAGAATCACTTTCTGAGTCGATTTATGCATGTCCGTCCGTCTGCCCGTCCATGTATTTTTGTTAACAAAGTACAGGTCGCATTTATGATCCGATTTGGATGAAATTTGGCACAGGCCACTTATTTGGCCTAAGGACGAACCCTATTGAAAATGGGAAAAATTGGGTTAGATTTAGATAAAGCTCCCATATATAGTTTCGCCCGATTTAAGGTAAATGGTGTACCAAAGTCCCTATATATCCTTCGATTTGCACGAAATTTGGCATAGAGTACTAAATTAGGTCCAGAATGATGTGTGCCAAGTTTCGAGAAAATCGGTTCAAATTTAGATATAGCTCCCATGTATAGTTTCGCCCGATTTAAGGTTATTGGTGCACCAAAGTCCCTATATATCTTTCGATTTGCACGAAATTTGGCATAGAGTACTGAATTAGGTCCAGAATGATGCGTGCTAATTTTCCTTAAAATCGGTTCAGATTTAGATATAGCTTCAATATATATTTTCGGACGATTTAATTTAAATTGTGCACTAAAGACCCAAAGATTGGCCGATCGTCACACAATTTTGTACAATGTACTGTTACTATAACCTTTCGTGTGTCAGGTTTTCTTGAAATTGGTTCAGATTTACATATACCTTCTATATATATTTTCGTCCGATTTTAAGTAAATGGTACACTAAAGGCCCATACAAACCCATGCACGTACAGAAATTAATAACAATTAATATCTAGCAAGTTTCCTTGAAATCGGTTCAGATTAGCTTCCATATATAATTTCGACCTATTCATATTGACTGTACACCAAATAATCAATGGAAATAATAAATTTTCAAAATCACAACAAAAAATTCCTCTGTAGGCTGGTCAAATATATATAATATCTATATATGTATTTATTAAACTATAAAATTATAAAAAAGTTATATGCCCGTGATTTAATCACTCAAAATCATCTATATCTGTTTTTTTTGTTTTATTAACTAATTTTTATATGTATGTACATAAAAAAAAAACAAAAACAAAAAATCTATTTAAACAGAAGATACTAAAGATGGTGAGTGACAATGTAACAAAACAATTGTATTGAGTGTGTTAATCGTTTAGTGATCATCACATTCCCTGTCACCAAAAAAATCCACCTCACCACCTATCACCATTTTGAGAATCATAAAAAATCACTTCTCAATCAAAATCAATCATTATCGCCCCATGTGATATACTATTCACTCATGAGGGAGCTGACTCCACATATATACATACATATTTAGAAAGTAAACAAACAAATATTTAAAATTTACATATTAGTAGGGAGGTAAGGACTCCATATATAGAGATGGTATTTACCGGGTAAATACCCAAGGGGTGGGTAAATACCGGGTAAATACCCATTTGCGGGTATTTATTTGGGTATTTACTATATTGACTCGGTAATACAACATCTTACACCCTATTTCCGGATTTCTGTTATCAAATCGATTTAGAATGGACAGTTTTACGATACTTTAAAGACGTGGGTAAATACTTGGGTAAATACCCGAGTTTTTACCCAAAAATTGGGTATAAACTCATTAACTGCCGAATCACTTTACATAGGCGGCCAAAATTTTGCACACATGTTTCTAATGACAAAGCAAATATAGAAATCCAACATGGGGACCCTGGGTCCAAGTTTTGATATAGCCCCCATATAACCGTATCTCCCGATTTAAGGTATTTTTTGCCTATTAGACACATTTTACAACCAAATTGGCTGTAATTTGGCACAGAGTGCTCTTTTTGGGTACAAAATGTCCATGCAAAATTGTATGTATGTAGGTCCACGTTTACTGGTAGCCCCCATACAAAGGTACCCCTATTTTGAGTATTTACCCAAAAATTGGGTATAAACTCATTAACTGCCGAACCACTTGACATAGGCGGCCAAAACTTTGCACACATGTTTCTAATGTCAAAGCAAATATAGAAATCCAACATGGGGACCCTGGGTCCAAGTTTTGATATAGCCCCCATATAACCGTATCTCCCGATTTAAGGACATTTTTATCTATTAGCCAATTTGATTAGCTGGAATTTGGCTTAGAGGTTCTCTATGAGTACCAATTGTTTGCTCTGGTCAACTTTTTCTGTCCTATATAGCGGTCCTGCTTTTGGGTATTTATATATATTTATAAACTCTTTTACAGCCGAACTATTTGACGTGTGTTTTGAAGACCCCTTTTCCCATACAGGAAATAATATTGATTTTAAACCATGTGTGTCAAAAACCACATTTTGCATGAATATTTTGTGCAAAAAAAATCTCACTATGCCAAATTACAACCAATTTGATCGTAAAAGTACCTTAAATCGGTAGGTACGGTTATATGGGGGCTATATCAAAACTTGGACCCAGGGGCCCCATTTTGGATTTCAATATTTGTATTGATATAAAAACCATCTGAGCCAAGTTTTGGCCGCCTATGTCAAGTGGTTCGGCAGTTAATGAGTTTATACCCAATTTTTGGGTAAATACTCAAAATAGGGGTACCTTTGTATGGGGGCTACCAGTAAACGTGGACCTACATACATAAAATGTTGCATGGACATTGGGTACCCAAACATAACACTCTGTGCCAAATTACAGTCAATTTGGCCTTAAAATGTGTCTAATAGGCAAAAAATACCTTAAATCGGGAGATACGGTTATATGGGGGCTATATCAAAACTTGGACCCAGGGTCCCCATGTTGGCTTTCTATATTTGCTTTGACATTAGACACATGTGTGCAAAGTTTTGGCCGCCTATGTCAAGTGGTTCGGCAGTTAATGAGTTTATACCCAATTTTTGGGTAAATACTCAAAATAGGGGTACCTTTGTATGGGGGCTACCAGTAAACGTGGACCTACATACATAAAATTTTGCATGGATATTTTGTACCCAAAAAGAGAACTCTGTGCCAAATTACAGCCAATTTGGTTGTAAAATGTGTCTAATAGGCAAAAAATACCTTAAATCGGGAGATACGGTTATATGGGGGCTATATCAAAACTTGGACCCAGGGTCCCCATGTTGGATTTCTATATTTGCTTTGACATTAGAAACATGTGTGCAAAGTTTTGGCCGCCTATGTCAAGTGGTTCGGCAGTTAATGAGTTTATACCCAATTTTTGGGTAAATACTCAAAATAGGGGTACCTTTGTATGGGGGCTACCAGTAAACGTGGACCTACATACATAAAATTTTGCATGGACATTTGGTACCCAAAAAGAACACTCTGTGCCAAATTACAGCCAATTTGGCCTTAAAATGTGTCTAATAGGCAAAAAATACCTTAAATCGGGAGATACGGTTATATGGGGGCTATATCAAAACTTGGACCCAGGGTCCCCATGTTGGATTTCTATATTTGCTTTGTCATTAGAAACATGTGTGCAAAATTTTGGCCGCCTACGTCAAGTGGTTCGGCAGTTAATGAGTTTATACCCAATTTTTGGGTAAAAACTCGGGTATTTACCCAAGTATTTATCCACGTCTTTAAAGTATCGTAAAACTATCCATTCTAAATCGATTTGATAACAGAAACCCGGAAATAGGGTGCAAGATGTTGTATTACCGATTCAATATAGTAAATACCCACAAATGGGTATTTACCCAATTTACCGGGTATTTACCCAATTTACCGGGTATTTACCCTTTGGGTATTTACCCACTGCCCATCTCTATCCATATATAAACAATTTGAATTCGATTTATATTCATATTTCTATATGAATATAATTCACATAGAAAATTATATTCATATATACTATGAATATAAATTTCCATGTATTTTTTCCTTTTCCCAAATTTAGATAAGAGAATTATCAGCTCTATTATATATGAGTCGTTTATTTTGAAAGCGGCTTAAGTCCATTTTAGGTTCTGATACAAATCTTGGTTTTCTACAAAAGTTTATAAAACATATTACGTTACATATTCTAACATGTTTAAGGACAAACTAAATTAATACCACTTAACAATATTTTTGAAAAAAAAAAATCAAATCCAAACCTTTCAATATCTATATATAAGAAAAAATGGACTTAAACCACTTTCAAAATAAACGACTCATATAGAGGTCTTAATAAACGAGGATCATTTGTACATATACGTTTCCAGTAGGAAAATACTTAAATATTTGTTAAAAAATAAATTAGAAAGCTTACTATAAACAATATGAAACCCAATCCTATAAAAAATATATATCTACTCTAAAAAATAAATATATAATACAAAATTATATATCTAAAAAAATATTTTCCCGTATATTTCGTATACAGATATAGAATTTATTATCACATAAAAAATAATTATCAATCAGAAAGAACTTTCTTCAAATACAAAAAAAAAAAAACATTTTTCGAGGTTATTTTACAAATCAGTCAACATATTTCACATCCATCATAAAATCACATATATAAAAATTATAAACATAATTTAAAATCATATCAAAGTTATTAATCATACTGTGTTTTGCGCAATATATATTTACAATTTTTATTTGTTATTAATTAAAATATATAATTTAATGTGTGTTATAACAAAATTGTTTTTAAATTTTTTGGTTTTCGGTTTAATTTTTCATATTAAAAATTTTTATTTTCATTAATTTGTGCACCATTCATATATTTTCATAGATTCACTCACATATCCACAATATATATTTTGTAAAAATGTCATTTATTCATCATATTGCACCAAAAATTAAATTTTTTTCTGTGACTAATTAAAAAAATATATAAATATTTTTATAAAAAAAAAGTATGAATTACATACAATTTTTTTATAAGTTTCAGTGTATATTTCATTTATTTATGTTTATATTTGTAAGAAAATTAATGCACACGTAGGCTTTTCAAGTTAATTTTTTTGGCAGAAGTTGAGAGATGGAAGAGGGAATATTTAGAAGATTTTAAGGACTATAAAAGAGCTATCAGAGGTATTTGAGTGGAAAATGAAGGTTTTTGAAGCTATAAGAGGGGATTAAAAATAACTGAAGCTCTATTATAGTTATATTCACGCTTATAAATAATTATTAATGGATGTAAAATATATTATATTGATATTAAAAAGTAAAATGAAGGACTATCAGAGTCATAGCTTGGATTAAAAAAAATAGCTTTTATAGGTCCACTCCATGGTGTAGTTTATAGTGGATAGTTTGCCAGCTCAAGAGAAAAAAATCTATAGCGCCCCCCATAAATAAGAAAGGACACCAACCAGTGCACAAATTCAAGGAAACGTTATTTCTATTTAGCGATAGATTGCAGCCACATCATCTAGGATAGGCTTTGGCAGACCAATAATCTACTTAGCTGAAGTAAAAACAATAAATTGATTAACAGAACGAAAATAGGAAAATGGCAACACTAAATAAGCAAGGGCACCAACCAGTGCTAAAATTCAAGGAGACGTTATTTCTATTTAGCAATAGATGGCAGCCACATCATCTAGGATAGGCTTTGGCAGACCAATAATCTACTTAGCTGAAGTAAAAACAATAAATTGATTAACAGAACGAAAACAAGCACTAATCTAGTAGGATGGCGATGCTTTGTTAAAGCCCAACGTTCTCTAGAGGAGCAACAAGAGAAAAAAACATCAGAGCTATACATTGGTTTTAAAGTAATAATGAAAGGCATATTATATATTTGAATGGCTGTCATAACAGATGAAGGACTATCATTATTAGACCTAGAAGGACTATTAGAAGGACCAGAGAATTTTGAAGGACTATAAGAGTTGCAAATGTGGAGATTTTGAAAGACTTTTAGGGCAACTATAGTAGATTTTATCAAAGGCCTATTGGAGCTTCAAATGAGAGCTAGATGTTAGGGAAAGACTATTGCAGCTGAAGTACCTTCAGAAGTACAAGAGTATATTTTTTATTAGGGCGCATTATTACAAGCGAGAATTTTTAATAGTGGAACGTGGTAGCTAAAAGCATGACTTTTAATAACATTTATTAGGAAAGTCGCCGAATTGTCTTATTATGCAAGGTTATTTTTTGGAGACTATTGGAGCTACAACTGTAGATTTTATAATAATTTTAATTCCTGTGCCTTCATAGTTACATCCGTGGATTTTTATTGAATTGAATTGGTGGTCAGAGCAAAAAATTATATAAATTTTTTAATTTTAAAAAACAAGTAAAATAGTGTCAGTCAGTGTTGCCGACAGATTTATACCCTCAGTCTATGGTTTGTGGAGGTCTTTGGGAGTACACACATGTTTTATTCCCACCTTCGAAATTCTAGAAGATAATAGGTTGTGCAAAGTTTGATTCATATCGGGCATTCCTTTCGCCAAATATTGAATTTAAAAATATTGAAATTTTGATCATTTGGGGGGTAGGGCCAACTTGGGACTTCGTCTAGGTCTGGTAAATATAATAGGTTGTGCAAAGTTCGGATCAAATAGGATAGTCTGTTCGTATGATACAATTTATTTTCAGCGACATTTTACCATTTGTGGGGGAGGTACCAGAAAGGGTAGGGGTATAAAACCAATATTTCGATTAGGCATATTTTTGACGTATCGAAGTGTATATACCCTCATTAGCCATAAGACTGGGTGTTAAATGAATATCACAACATAATCTAGATTTTAGAGATTTTTTATGAGGTTTTCTAAAACATTTGGAAAATGGTTTTGTGATTTTTGGAGCATGTATCATTATCTTTTCACCAATTGGCAGAATTTCTATTTAAAGATTTGTTATTTTTGAAGGATATTTTTAAGAAAACAAAATGTTAAAATTTCTAACTTCAGCATTTTTCGGATTTTTTTCAGCTTCTCTAATGATTTTTTATGACTTTTTCTTAGGGACAATCAGAGGCCCCAAAATATATTTTTCAACAATTTTTCTTTGGCTCTCTCAAGTAGATTTTTTCAAGACTGTTTCGTGAGCTCCCGTCTTGATTTTTTAAAGAATTTGTGGTGAACTCTTAACGTCGTTTTTCTAGACTAAAAATGGGCAACAGAGTTCTCAGCGTTTATTATTATGAAAAAAGTTCTTGCAACTTCAGATTTGAATTCAAATATTTTTTTCTTGAGTTCTCAACTTTGCTTTTACATAAATTTTGTTAAACGCATATCTTCATTTTAATTAAATTACTACTGAGACCTACTATGGTTGTACTATGGAACTCTTAAAAAAATCAAAACCGACAAATGAAAAAATTAGAATCAAAGATTCTTTTCCAAATTAAACAAAATCTGTAACATAATTTCCTCGAATTTTGGATGAATATTTTTGTTAAACATTTTTTTCATTTATCGGTGTTGATTTTTGTTTAAGAATTCCATTGTAGGACAATCAAGGATTTAACGCATTTTTTAGTATCTATCATAAAGTCCAAGTGTATAATTAATTTCATTTTTTTGAGCTTCCTATGTAGGTTTTTTCGAAATTATTTACGGTCAACATCGAGAATTTGTTTTGTATCCTGAAGTCTCACGTGGACCACTATTGATTTACATTCGGAGCTATAGTTTAATTTTTACATTTAAAATTTTTTGAAGGATACTCAAAACTACAATCCCACATTATTTTTAAGGATTATCCTGTAGATCTAAGTCTGTATATTTCTTCCATTTTTTAAAATATTGATTCCAATCACATTTTGAAGTCTAATCGAATCACATTTCTAAGTCTTATCGAGAGCAAAAGCTATTGTGGGGATTTTTTGGGGATTAAATCATTCTGGAAAGGCAGTGCGAATTTTTGGTATATTTAAGGTATATATTATTAAAAATTTATATTTAAAAAATATTTAAAGAGTTAGAGGTTTAGATTTTCGATGCTTAAATTATGATATTATCCTTCGAATTTAGTAGTCATGTGTGCATTAATTTGTGTGTCAGGAATTGTAAATTTGTTTCGATTTTATATATATTTTTTTTTAATTTTTTGTATACAAATTTCTTATGAGGTAATTAATTACCACAACTTGTGTTTTTATATTTTTTAATTAAGTTAGATCAATGTCATTGCATGTGAAAACAAGTGAGCCTTTTTCTGCAAAGAAATCATATGCAATTTGTTTCTAATATGAGATTTGCATTCAAATATTTTTTGTTCCCCCTTTTTAATTTCAATACAATGTCAATACAAAATTTGACATTTGTATTAATGTACATACTTATTTTATTTTAATTTTTTTTTTTGTAAATTTTACAAAGAGTCCCCAGCATTTTTGTCACTACCCCATTGATATCTGCATAGCTATGCCATAAATATTTCCATTAGAAATTATAAATTCCATAATGTTGCTAAGCATATCAGTACATACTCCCCCCATAATATTTATTTTTTTTATTTCTTATATATAAAAACTATATAATTATTTTTATTTATTTTTTTATTTCTTTTCATTATCACCAATATTTTTGTAATACCATATTTGTTGTGGAATGTTGCCAAACAAAATATATTTTCCTCCAAACAATCGTATTTTTTCCTTGCGATTTTTAAATGAATTTTTGACAAACCTCAAATCGATACAATAAAAATACCAAACAGCTGTTAAAAGGTCTCCCATCCACAAGGATCAACGTACCACCGAAGAAATGCGTAAATTAATTGAAAGGTAATGTAAGACCAAGTACCCCAGACCCTATTTTGCATCCCCCCTTTTTAAAACAGCAAAGTTGAAAAGAAATCTCCCGTTGAAACACACAAAAGCAACAAATTAATATAGCTTTAACAGAAAACAGTTGTTTATAAAGTTCTAAATTAAATTTGTTCTACATATATCTAACTTTTCCACCACCAACAACACAATGTTAATCACTTGTTGATCCTTTACTAAAAATAATTGTACTTTTTTCCTGTTTTTTATTCTCTTTAAATATTTTTTGAAAAAACAAAAAAATATTTTCTTTTAATATTTTTTCCTTTTTGTAATAATTGTAATTGCAACCAACCAATCAAACAAAAAATCCTGTAGTCGAAGACATTTGTAAGTTTGTATGTATGTTGGTAGTAATGTAATGTTAAACATAAAAGCACGTAAATTTATCCTTGTGTAAGTAGTAGTCGTAGTGGTAGTAAATTTTGGTTTCTTTGTGTTATGCATGTGTGTGTGTCTATTTAATTTAACTGCATGAATACCTTTAATTTCAATTTAATTTTATTATTTAAATATTTATTTTTATTATTGATTATAATTTAATTATATATTTAAGTTAATGCAATTCACAGTTTTGAGATAAAAAATATCAAAAAAAAAAAAAAAAATTATATAATCAAAATATCAAAATGAAAATAATCAAATATATTGCTAATAATCTCTATATAATGTTAATGGAATAATTATATATCAAATGTTAAAGGCTTTTATGCAAAACAAGAAGAAAATAGTATATAAACAATACATTCAAAGAAAAAAATAAATAAAATAAATTAAAAAATATAAACAAATATATGATGAGAGTTAGGAAGTAATATTAGATCTCCAATACGTTTCGAAATATAATTATAATGCATAGTTTATTGTTGTTTCTAAAAATGTCACGGCATATTTTTAACACCAATTTTACCGATTTTTATGTTGAAAAAATTTTAAATTAAAATCAAATTTTAAGAGCTATATTAGCTTGAGAACAATTCAAGTCGACAATTCTAAGAGCCCTGGTTGCAGCAACTTAATTTTTTTTCTTGTGGGCATCCAAAGTGTTGCTGAAATCCCTGTATTTTACAAAGATTTTTAAAATTGTTATCTTTTGAAGCGAGTGAAGTCCCTTTGTGGGAGATTTCATACATTCTTTGTTATGTGCTTTAAATTTAACTAAGACCTTAAATCGGCCACACCACAGTGTCTCCTCTTAAACAGAATATATATTTGTCGGTCGGTCCTCTGCTCGTCTATGGACAGATGGCCACAACGGCTACGCGACTGAATCTCATTGAAAAAAATAGAAAAGTATGGACTCAATCTTAAAAATAATAAATTTTTTGAATCGGCACTTCAACCGCAACAATTTCTCAATTTGAAAAAGTATGATTAAATACAAGGGTCCTGACGAACTTTGGAGCCCATACCGCATGAATGAAATGACATACTACATACCTATGTCAGACTACATACCTATGTAGTCATCATAGATCTGGGAAGTATGAAGCCGAAGATTACAAACCAGAGACACACATATTTGACTCTGTCTCTGACATGGCCGTACAAAGCCATTGATTGTAAATATCTGGGATAAACGCATTACAGCCTGTCGCGACATGATGTATAACAGACCTTGTGTTAGTCTTACTTTTAGTCGGCAGAATTGCTTTCGAAAATTTCAAAAAATTTTCAAAAACTTAACTCATTTTATTTTTCTTATTGGTGACTATTTTTATAACCATTTCTGTGCCTCCACCCTAAGGTGTCCGCCGTTTGCAAGACCTCCAAATATTTTTGGAATTTTCGGCACATTTGTCAATCTATTCTGGCTCTATTTTGTGCTTTCACCAAATATATTATCAATATTCGTGCACATTTTAGGGTAGCCACTAATAACGACACCTCTCAAATTTCATAACATCGAGGAGTTTGGTCCAAATATTTGTTCGAATTCCGGCACATTTTTTCAACAGAATCTCGTTTTATAAAGATATTTAGGGCTCTCAGTGGATTTTAGAACAGCTCACCAAACATTATCAATATTGGTCCAGTTAATATTTTGGATGTTCATTGGATAGATAATCTCCCTAACAAAATCTCTCGATATTGGCCCTAGTTTCATAGTAGCTTTGACAGAACGGCATAACACCCACACAACAAACCCGATTGGATATCTACCTCAAGGTGGAGGGTACAGAAATATAGGCTTTGCCGAAATAGAGATTTGCGAACAATATTTTCATTTAATGGTACTGAAAAGTGTACACATTCGGAGCGAATATGATTATACTTTAATATAATTAAGTAAAGCCTACTTTGGCTTCAATAGACTCAGATTAAGATACATATTCGCTTTCCAGAAAATATTTTTTTAGATTCTAATTCCAGTAACTTTACTAAAATTCTACAATTTGTACCAATTAAATATTTCAATTTATTTTACCTCCCCAAAGTATGCTATAGTATTTATTTATCTAGTTTTTCAGCCATTCAAACTAATCCCTCGATAGATGGCGTTGCTTTCAACATATCGCAACCTATCATGAAGAATTATTTACGCACTCTAAAACTGTAATCTCTTTTACATATATTTGTATGTATATGTTTAAAAATTGAGATTTATTACTATTACTGGCTATTTTCTTAGAATTTATTTTTATTCCTCAGGAAGGAATAAATTACAAGGTCATATTAATCTAATTCCCAACTTAATGAAAAAAATGGCGTGATAGTAAACTGGGAAATTTTTCATTTTTCATTGGGAAATTTTTCATTAGACAATTAATATAAAGAGTATACTTTAATGCTATAAACTATGCAGAACATTAAAAAAATAATAAAATAATATATGACAAACAAATAAATACAATTTAATAAATAAATTATATTCTAATTTACTTATAAAATATATTATCTATACCATGCGATCCTATAGGCTACAATTGTAGGATATTTAACAAAGCACTACCAAGCAAAAAAAAAAAAAACAAATAATTACATAAACAACGTAGTCAACTTTTGAAACTGTTTAATATAGCCTGTGCTTGTAAAGCTGTAATATTGGAAATACAAATAATCGTATATCTATTATAAAGAAATTATTATTTTTCTACACTTAACTAATAATATATTTTCCCATTTTCAATTTTTTCTTTACAATCCGAATTTTATAGAAACGAAGCCGGCCCAAAACAACTCCAACAACAAAGTGGCGCAGGATTCACAGCCTACGATACTATGGCAGTGTAATTTGTAAATTAGCTTCGAAGATAATGCGAAAAGCTAAGTATGCAAAACACCTCATAATCATTATCATGGACGTATAATGAAAATGAAAGAATTCAGCAGTAAAATTAAAACAACAAAAAATACATATTTCAAAATTCGGCATCACTCATTGGCAAAAAATTTTGAAAAATACATAAAATTAAAACATTTTGCCAAAACTACGAAAAACATCAACCAAACAAAATATTGACTACAAAAAACATTTGAGTGATTTATACGAAAAAACACACACAAAATTACTATTTAAATATTATACAAACCAAAAAAACCATAACACTCATACACATACAAACAAACGATTTTCTTTCTTGGAATGAAATGCTAAACATTTTTGAGGGGAAAACAACGTTAAAAGTTGTCTTAAGAATGGAATTCGCGTTCTTTTGTAAAACAAACTTTTAACGGAAAAATAGAAATTTTTTCCCTTTGAAAAAAATTAGAAATTGTGCGAAAGTTTTACAGACAGACACATACACACATACTCAAAAACCAAAATAACGAAAAAAGAAAAAAACAAAAACATCATATATAAGAAGAAGAAAAAACTTTGCATTTTTTAAACTATATAACAAAACATACATATATATACATATAACTTATATTTAAAGAAAAAGAAAATTAAACAACAACATCAACATTTTTTTAATGTATAAGTGTATTTTGATGGAAAAGTAATATAATTAATAGTATTTAAAGAAAATGAAAACAAAGAAAGAAATGATTAAGTCAATCTAAGTATGAAGTGAGAAACAAAAATAATACAAAAAGGAATAACAGAAAATAGACGATGAATTCATCCACAAAAAAATATTAAGAAATAATCAGGAACATATGGAACACCACAGCAATACAGACTCATATGAAATAAAAAACTTATTTTTTAGTATAACAATATATAAAATAATATACATAATGATAAAGAAATCATAAAAATGAGGAATAAATGTTCAAGGTTGGAAAATAGAAAGAAAACAGGAGGAGAGGGAAAATTTTAAATTTCGGATAAAATTTAATTTTTATAAAAATTTATTTTTATTAAAAATATTTGTTAATAAAAATTAATATCAAAGAATATAAAAAATATTTTTTATAAAATTTAATTTGTAAAAATTAAAAAATTTTTGTAAAAATTAATTTTTATGAAATATATTTTTATATAACAATTAATTTTTATAAAAAACATTTTTTAAAAAATTAGTTTTTATTAAAAATATTTTTTATAAACTAAAACTATTTATACGAAATTAAAACTATTTATACGAAAGCAACAAACACTAAGTTATATAAAAATTAATTTTTATTAAAAATATTATTTACCAATTTTTGTTAAAAATATTTTTTACTAAAAATTAATTTTTGTAAAATATTATTAAAATATTTTTTTATAAAATTTAATTTTTATTAAAAATATTTTTTATAAGAATTAAAGTATTAAAAAATGATTAAAATTTTAATTGAAGTTTTTCACATTTTAAAAACAATTTCTAACTATTTTCCTGGAAAATACAGAATTCAAAGAGTTGCCATATCATTTACCAAAACCCAAAAAACAATCTCAAAAGTGATTCAGTGTTTAAAATTTTATTTTTTTTTATGTTTTCAATGCCAATTCCAGTATTTTTGTGTGGCACCCAGGGCAACTTTTTATTCCTGACGGTAGAACATATGTTCCTGGAAAATACAAAATTCAAAGAGTTGCCATATCGTTTACCAAAACCACAAATAAAAAATAAAAAATGATGGTATGATGTATAAATTTCAAATGTTGATGTTTTCAATGTCATTTCCAATACTTTTGTGTGGCACCAAATTCAATTTTTTACTCCTGAAGGTAGAGCTGATGTTCCTGGAAAATACAAAATTCAAAGAGTTGCCATACCACATACCAAAACCCCAAATAAAAAATAATTTGGAAAGGGCTTTGATGTTTAAATTTCACATTTTGATGTTTTCAATGTCATTTCCAATATTTTTGTGTGGCATCCACGGAAACTTTCTATACACAATGATAGGGAAATTACAAAATTCAAAGAGTTGCCATATTAATTACTAAATGTTTAAAATATAAATTTTTAAACAAAATAGTTTGGCTTATAAAATGATTTTTTTATATTTTCAATATTTCGTGTGGCAAAGAAGGCAACTTTTTATTTCCAAAAATATATCCTCTGTTCCAAAAAAAATTCAAAATTCATAGAGTTGCCATATTAATTCGTAAATGTATAAAATAAAACATAATCTAAAAAATTAAATTGTTAATATTCAAGTTTCTCATATTTTAAATACAATTTCAAATCATTTTTGTGTGGCACCCAAGGCAACTCTTCAGATAACAGAGCAGCTGTTCCTTGAAAATTACAAAAATTCCCCGAGTTGCCATATCATAAAAGAAATGCGTACATTTTTTAAATAAGTTTGATTTGCAAAATTCAACATTTTATTCATTCATTTTCAAAAAATTTCGTGTGACACAAAAGGGTACATTTTTATTTTCTAGGAAAGAACAGATGTTTTTGAAAAATACCAAATTCAAAGAGTTGCCATATAAAATACTAAAAACCGCTATTTTGCAAGGTTACTTCATTATTGAAATTCAGTATTTAATTTTAACATTTCAAACACTTCTGTGCTCCACGCATACTTATAATTAATTCTCAGAGCTACCTAGGGTCAACAGAAAAATACAAAATTGTCAGTGTTGCCATATCAGTCACATAAAGTATTAAAAAGAAATTATTTCAAGACAAAATGGATTTTTAATACTTTTCATTGATAAATCTGAAAATAAATCATGTTCTATATAGAACTCTGAACTTGTTGAATTTTCTCAGAGCTACCTAGGGTCAACAGAAAAATACAAAATTTTCAGTGTTGCCATATCAGTCACATAAAGTATTAAAAATAAATTTTAAAGTATTTCAAGAAAAAAATTGATTTTTAACACTTTTCATTAATAAATCTGAGAATAAATCGTTTTCTACATAGAACTCTGAACTTTTGGGATTACTTTTCTAATTGGGATTAAAAAAATATCTAAACATTTTGAAAAAATTTTATAAATTATTTTCCAGAAAATAGTTTTTTCTCTACACTTTGGCAACTTTTTAAACATAAAGGCAGGAAAATTATTTTTTAAATATAACAAGAAACTAAATAAATTAAAACAGTGTTGCCATATCAACTAATTATTTCCAAAAGAATTGAGGTCAATATTTGATAATTATTTATAACCAATATTTCGAAATTATTTAAAATACTTGTGATTTCCGAATTTAATTTCAAGCTTCCATGCTCTCCTTTGTGTCATTTACTTTCCAATCTTGAACATTTTTCTGAAACACACACACAGCACAAACAATTTCATTCTTTTTACAATTTTCTATTTAATTTGCATTAAATAAATTAATAACTTATTTTTGTATTATTTTTATTTCTAAAAAGAAAACAACAAAAAATTATAAAATTATGTTATAAACAAGAATCTCAACGATATATATGTATGTATGTAGAAAGAAATGAAATTAAAGAAAATGCGAAAAAACAACAACGTTATAAACACACATATTTATACGAGAGAGAAAAAGTCATTATATATACTTTTTTATATAAAAAAATAATAATTATTATTATAATACATATTTGCCATTTATTTTTTCTGCAAAGAGTTTTCTTAAGAAAACCTAACTCCCCTACCCCCTTATAGTTTTAAGATTCAAAAAAAATATTTTTAGTTTTAAAAACAAACAAAATAACTACTTTTTATTTTTAATTATGAAATCTATTTATCATGGATCCTATTAATATTATTTCGAAAAAAAACAAGATTAATTTGTATTTTTTTTTTAATTTTTTGTAATATTTAAGATTGTGATGTTTATAATTTTAGTCATGTTTATAATTATTATAATTTGTAACAATGTAATTTTTCTTTAATTTTTGTATGTAACTATAAGTGACACAAACAAACAGGTTCTACAAAGAAAATAGACAGATAATAGGGAAGAAAAATATTTTTTCTTTTTTAAAAAAACTGGTCATATAGATTTTTTTTGTAAAAATTTAAAACAGTGCTTCCCCCTCCACGAACAGACAACAATACTGCTACACATACACATAATACATATTTTTCTATAACATCACTTTCATTTTGTATTATACATTGGTATTATCCTATATATTTTCTTTATATTAATATATTCTTATTTTTAATTTTTAATTAAAAGCTTTAATTATGTTTTTTGCCCCCTTCACAAAATATATTTCGATTTGTATTATATTTAGCTATCGTTCTATAATTTTGGAAATTTTGATTTAATTTATTTTCATTAAAAAGTGAAATTTTTCTTCACTTTCTCTTGTAACAAAAAGAGCCCCCCAAACTACCACCCCCCCCCCCACAATTTTATTCAAACGTATTTATAATTTAATCATGTGTTTTAATATTTTTTTAGTTTTGTCGATTTTAATTTTTTGCTTTAAAATATAAACAAAAAAATTGAAAATTTTTTAAAATCGTTTTTGTTTTATTTGTGATTTTTTCATTAATTTTTTTTTTTAATAAAAAATAATTGATGTTTATTTTTATATAAAGGTTAGTATGGTGTGGAGTTTTTAGAAAAGGAAAAAAATAAGAGATCGTGGAAAAAAATTAGATCTCATTAGGGATTCTTGTTCAATACTTTTTCAATAATGAAATGATGTGCTGCAATATATTTGGTTTCAGGAATTAAAAAAAAAATAAAACAAATCTTCTTAAAGTTACAACAATGTTTATAGCCTTGGTCTCCGTCTGGAACCTTAGATTCGCTACTTTCAAATACGTAGATATTACGGATTATTTCTTATTTTTTAATTACACACACATTGGTAATTGTACTACTTCCTTGTTTCACTATTATCAGATTTTTTAAATCTGCATTTTTCTTATCCGAGTCTTTATTAATGGAAATCACTTTCCAAATAACTAAGTGAACTAGGCCTGATTTCATTTGCAGATTTGATTAGCTATAAATTCCCTATGG